CATTCATTTTTCTTTGTATTTAATTTAATATAGTAAAATATATTTTATTAAATTAGTAAATGTTTGATTAAATTAATAAGTAAATGAGTGAATACATAGTAAATAAGTAAAATTAATAATAAAATTTTAATATTTGCAATAAAATATTTATATACGAAATGATTGATTAATATAATATTTTGAAATTATTTAATTACTAATTTTTATTTCTTAAATTAATAATTATTTAAGTAAGCTTGACTATAAATTATTCAACTATTTTTACTTATAAAAAATTATAAAATATTAAAACAATAGGAGGATTTGTTAACAATAGGAGGACAATAGGAGGAAAATTGTTACCATAATATTGGATAAGGGATGAATATTGGATAAGAAGTTAGTATCATTTGTAAATGAATCATTTTATTTTATAGTATAAAATGTCACATGAACAAAAGTTTTGATTATTTATTTATTTTCTTTTTGGCAAATGTTTGTTTCATTTTAAAAATAAAAGCGAAAAAAGAATAAACATGCCATATAAATACAAGAAATTAGTTCATTTCATAGAACTATATAAATAATTCCTAATAACTAATAATTCCGACAGGTAGCTAATAACATATGTCACTGTCAGTAAATTTACATTATATTGTGATAAAAAAAAGCACATATATATTACCGGTTAGACACCTTTATGGTAATCACTGTTAATAAATTTCACAGCATAAGCAATTGCTAACATATCATATGATAACAATATGTTTCAAAGTATAAGCAGCTAATAACATTTTGTATGATAACAATACGTAATTGAAGATCTCTATTTTTATTAGAGTACAATGTATGAGTAATATATTTTTTTGAAATGATAAAAGTTTTTCATAATGAAACTGAGCGAATAATAAAATATGACAAAGGAAATGGTAATCCATAAAATTAATTAATAAGCAAATAAAATCTATAGAATTAATTAATAAGCAAATAATTTTAAAAGAAATGAAACAATAATGAATTCACTTTGATAAATACAATTTTCAGATGTCCTATTCTTCTCGAACTGATAAGTAAAAGAAAATATTTGGTAAAAGCAGCACTTGCAAAATGCAATGAAATGCAATAGTTAAATTTTGAAAAGTATAAAATTTTAAATAAAAATTATTTATAAGTAAAAGCTGGAAGTGCTTTCATTGTTTCCCAGAAATTCCGAATCATATGAATCAATGTCACAATCCGGTGGCATCACAATACCCAGTATTCGACCCTGGTCATTAACATCGAAATCCTGAAAAATACTATCAACAATTTAAATCGAATTTATCGAATTTGTCTTCCAAAAATTTCAACCGAATTTATCACCATCATCATCGATTTCCATTATTTTTCAAGTAAGAAATCTTCTCTAAGAGTTAAAGCTGTAGTTTAAAATTAATGTAATGAGTTGTAGTTGTAGTTTAAAAATTCCTTCAACTAATTTACGTAATGTTAGGATAATGAGTAGATTTCCGCATAACACAGCTTACACTTATAAAGACATGCTGTTCATTAATCATAAATAAACCTAACTTTTATTTTCGTTCTTCTACCGGATATGGATGATATTAAAGAATTCTTGTACATAAGTTACTTAATATTCCTTGTTTCTTTTACTTTTAGTTAAAAACTATTTTAAAAAGTCCAAACAAACAAATCAAATATTTCATTCAATTGCTATTGAAAGAAATAAGTTAGCAAAAGATAGAATAAAATGAAAGAAACTTCGAAATTACTTTAGGATATTTTATGGATGCACCAATATAACCGATATTTCTTTAGTGTAAAAAAAACCAAAAGGAAAAATTACTTGTAGGTATAATGTTTTCTTCGTTTCTATTTCCCATATTATAATCTTCTCACCAACTTTGTTAGCAGCAAATTTTTTCGGAATAACACGAATTTCGAAATCTTTGATCAAATTCCAATGCTCGTTAATTAGCATATTGTAAAATGATAGTGGCCGACTACATTTTCGTTTCCAAATTATCTATACAAAAAGACAAAATGAGAAAACAAAAGTGGAAAATTATTCTTATTATTTGAGGTAAAATAATATGCTTTTTTTTCATCCCAATAAATATTTTACCTGAAGTGATTTCGATATCCTGCTTGGAAAACTGATAATGAAATTTAAAATACCATTATCTAATTTATCCTCTTCACAGTTTATCAGTGATAACTTCCGTAAACGCGGAGCCATCTGAAAAAAACAAATGAATACAAATTATCAAAACATTATCAAAACCATTTACATGTTTTTCCAAGGATATTACTCTTTAATTAATTGATGTTTCAAATAATTGCAAATAAATTAGATGAAGTATCGCTTTCAATTAAATCAATAAAATATTGCATATCAAATATTGTAGAGTTGCCATTGATGATGTTAATGTTTTTAAGTGCCATGAAAAATTTGATGAGAAATCAGCCCTAACATATGAAATATTATGGATGCATATTCCCTTAGATTAACACGATTATAACTTCAAATGACGATATGTTCTCTGGATAAAGAGGATTTTGATTCGAGAATCTTATCGCTCCAAATCAAAATAACGGTAATATAATTACTAATGTTAATAAACCACTTATATCAGTAATCCGTTATCTATACTACTTTTTCAGAAAGTCGTAAGATAATTTCTTTCAAGCAAAGGATCAATTTCGACTGGTATTTCATTGGAGAATTTTATTCTTAAGTTATAATAAATCAAAGGACTAATTCGCTCTAATTGTTAATCTCTCTACTTTCCTTATTTTTATATGATGTAAGGGAATCGATCAAATCAAAACTAATCTAACCTTACATGATCTAAAGCACTGTTACTAACTAAACACTTAAACAATTTATTGCATTTTTCTTCTCCCTCATCTTTCCTTCCTCTCTTTGATTTACAAGTATAAAACTCTTAAATATCCTGAATGAAATCTTAAAGTTAAATCACAGAATGACTTTAAAATAATTTTTTCAAAGCAAAAAAGAGTGGTTACCAAGGAGAGATGTAAGAGAATTGGAGGAGTAATAGCTGATGCTTGAATAAATTTAACATCTGTTAAACGTGGTAAAGGATGTGTTAGTAACAAATTTCGCAAAAGTGCTTCATCGGTAAGAAATGATGCTTCGAATCGTCCCAATACAGTACCAAATGATGAAGGAGGTAATTTCATCGAATTCAGCACCTCTTTCCGTCTAAAATACGAAGAATTTTTACTAAATGGAGCTAAAATTTAAACCACAACTTATAATTTTAATTAAATTTAAAACAAAAAAATTGATGCAAGCATTAACAAGTTTGATAAATGAAGAAGAATGACAAAAAATTCAAAAGTTTTTCATCATGAAATCAATTTATAGTCTATATGTTATTAACATTTTTATGCTTCCGCATTTATTATCATTTCTTATTAATCATAGTTTACAATCTCAGCATATTATATCATAAACAAACAGTTGCTATTTTTTCATAATGTTATGTTGAATTTATCGGTCATCTACTGGTTATAATCGTTATACGGTTTTTTACGAAATATGCTTATTTTCTGTTTATAATAGTTTGCACTGTCAACATAACAATATATTAATAAAGTGTGTCAACAGTTGTCATTTTTTACCATATTATTCCCGATTGTCGTATCGATTATAACATTTATAGACTAATTTATGAAATCCTTATTCATCAAATTGCACTTCCTGTTTATTTTTCAAATCATAGCCTATTTTCTCTTATTTCTGCATTTAATAGTGTTTAGAGGCTATGAAATTATAACAAATTTCTTATCCGAATGCGGTCATTTTTATTGTCCAGTTCTAATTAACGTTCAGTTTATTAATACAAAGGATAAAGATAAATGGTTAGGATATGGGTGATAACCAAAAAGTATTACATAGTTAATAGCAGTGATCCCTGATAATGATTTATAAAATAATAATTGATCAGCATCATTACTGCTTCCATTTGAAAAAAACAGAAACCGAAAGAGAGGGGGATAATAAGACAAGGTTAGAGGTTAAAATAAAAAAATGTCATATTAAATCAAATTTAATTCAAATAATTTAAAAGCCTAAAACTGTTAAGAATTAATGTTAAAAATTTTTTAAGCTCAATATGGAAAAGTATTTAAAAGTTATATGCTTACTCATCTCTTGTATCCTTTTGCAGTATTCCAAAATGTAACGTTAATTTTCTTGCAGCTATTAACGATGATAAATCGTAAATTCGTTCGTAATTGGTTTCTTCGCCGATTACATTTAATGACACTACCCGCATCGCTGAACTAAACGTTAAAAGTTATAAATAATTTATTTTATACGTTAAAAAAAAATGATTTTTTTTAAAGTTTTCATTTCTAGTTTAGAAAGAATTCTCCAACACATTCTCGTATTGCATTTATCCTATTTAATTGTTTGAAAAAATATCGTTTATTCCTAAAATCAATCCTTAGATATATTTCTAATAGATTTAAAACAATGCGAGATATGACTAAGAAAATATCAAAGAATTGCAGAAAACTTTAAATAGATAGAAATTCTTTGAAATAATTAATTACAATTATACGAAATTTAAGTAACCAAAAAAAATCAAATTGTTAAAAAAATTTAGAAAGACAACCTCGTGAATGAGATAATCCGTCGAATGACGAACCCAAGATCGGTATAACACAAATCTAATTTAATCATTTGAAGTGAATTAAGTTTGATGTCAAGTTCGGATACACCATTGTTTGGCAATTCACTATCATCATTGTCGTCATTATCCGACGATCCAATTACAATAGTTTGCCGGTGTGAGTCGATTTTGCAATATCGAAATATCTACAATAACACTTGATGATTAATATTCCTCTTCTTCCTTTTTTATTTCTTGTTTCTTAGTATTTCCAAGGAAAATTTTTTAAATTTTCATTTAAATTGATAAAATCGATAACTTTAACAGCAGCTTGATAATTTCGGAAACAAAAAATTGACAACGTTTAGAATTTGAAAATAAATGTGTCAAGAAATGAAGAAATATCATTTTGATGATAAGAAGGAAAAAATTAACAAAACAAGCTCAAAAAAAAGGAATAAAACAAAATTATCAATGTCACTTTGAAACAAATTCATTCAGGTAGTGACAAATATGAGATAATATATTAAATAATATTTAAGGAAATTCTCAATTTGAAAATTTCCAATCATATCCAAAACGAATAAAAATAGATATGAATTATTGACACCGTTGTAATAAACTTAATTTGATGTTCTCCGACCGTTAATCTTTTTTCGTCATTTGATGACAATATATTTGATCTGAGACAAAATAATTTATTAAAAATTATAACTTTAATTGATGATACAAAAAATATAAATTAAAGACTAATAAAATCACTCTCCGCTCCGAAAAAAACTTACAAGATATTGTAATTTGGGTAAATTATCCGAACTGATCACTTGAAGAAATGAATCGAATTCATGAGTATCCAAAAATTCTGCATGCCCTAACATCAAATATTCCAAATTCACCAAATACCTTAGTTTTGGCATTATACGCAGAAATTTGCCACTCCTATTGAGCCATTCTAATGTTGTAAGACTTTCTGGCAGGAAAACTTCAGGTTCTGCAAAAACAATAACTTTGCAGAAAAAGCATAAATAAACTTTATATTAATAATTAACTTTATGTTAATAAGCAATGCAGCTTATTAACATAAAGTTAATCAGCCTATATCAAAGATCTTCATAAAATTTAATTTTGCTAATAATATTATACCTTACACTCTGCCCTAGTACTGATCCAAAAATTCCATAAGACCTGAGATAAATAAAGTCATCGAAACTATCCAATAACCTCGGAAGAATATCAATGGATATCATATCAACTACTTCCCTAGTAATCAAGCAATGACAAAAATATATGTATATGTGTATATCAATAACAAAATTTTGTTAATTCGCCTCCGTATTTATTCAATACTATAAATTAATAAAATTCAATATGAAACTCACTGATATTAAATCCATCCAACATAAGAGTGTCCATTTTGGTAAATTTCGGGAACGAACACATGTCCAATCCAGACCAGAAAAATTCCTGACCATGTGGTCGCATTGTCATACCCGTAAGGTCAGGGAATGAACTGAAGGCCTGTTCTAACGCTTTTTCCTAAAACAAATATACTTTCATCTTACATCAATCATCATAATTTTAGATTCATAAAATTAAAAATATGAAAAAATAAATGTATAAATTTTCACAAAAAAATAAAAATAAATGTATAAATTTTCATAATGTCTTAAGCCTCAGTGGTAATGTTTTCAATTTTGCCACGAAATTAATCAGTAATCGGTGAACTGAATTTCATAAATAATCATACACGTCATAAACAATCAAATATTCGCGACTCACAGTATTGTATGGGTAGAGATCCAAACATCTCATACGGATCTTAGCTTGTTTCAACTTTCCTGAAAAACAAAATCATTGTCAAGCTTTAATGCTTATAACATCTTGAGATTTAAAATTTAAAAACTAGAAAACAGTAAAAGAATTGAAATTTGAAAATAAAACAGCGGAGCTATCACTCTATTTGATACTTGATAGAATATTATCAAAAATTTCAGAATCTTCTGCCTCAAAATAAAACAGAGAAAGAGTAACCAAAAATATGAAAGCATTAGATACGAATAAATGAAAGTGAGAAAATAAAAATATAAAAGAAAGATGGCAATTTTATAATTTTAATAGTTGATGAGAACTTTTCAATCATCTGAATATCGCCTAATGCCTTCCTAATAATATGAGACAACATTAGGTATACCATTCGCAAACCTCAAGCTATTTTGAGAAACTGTAATATACTAATTTAGGATTTTTTATAAAATTTATAATATTGACAGGAATGAAAAAGATAATCAACGTTTTTGCAAATGTTAATCCTACAGTATTATTCGATACTGAAAACTTTCCATATATAACTCAATTAATAACCGATGAAGAAGATAGAAAATACAAATTGTATTGTAGAAATGTAGAAGAATGCAAATACATCAACAGTCTTATTAGCAATTAGCATAAGGCAAAAATGGGATGATGAAAATGCAATGTATGATAAAAGATGTAATTTACTCAATACTTTGCCAGCAAAAGTAGCATCAGCAAACCATATTTTGACGCTACTAATTATTCGACAGTGCTTCAGGACGTTTAGCAAATAATGATCTTTATCGATATGATAACATTTCAATCTGCAAAACATTCAGTGATCATATCATCAATAGTAGAACATTAGAAAGCATAATATTTTCCTTTAAAAGCTAAGCTGATTTAATTAATAAATCATAAAATTTTCGCTGTATAATTTTCAACAGAGAAAATGCCTGTTTTTTTATCAGCAAATAAATTTAAAGCAACGGCGATTATTACTTGAATAATTCCTGATTTTGAAAGAAAATCGCTTTCTACTTTTCAACTCATTATTACAATCGATGTGTAATTTTAACGTAAAGAAATCCATTGTTTCAAAAGAAAAGTAATGGATAAGTGGAAATTTAGAATCACTCCAAATTGCAAAAGTTAATGCAATCAATCTTACTTAAAATTTATTTACTACTCACAAATTGGAGTTGTAACTTTCTCAGTGCTAACCGTATCATTAAATAGGATAAAAATGGATAGTCAAAATTATATAAAATATTAGTTAAATGAAATAATAGTATTTGTCAGAAATAGTTACCCAATATTTCTGTTATTACTTATTTTATCTTTGTATATTTGATTTTGAAAAATATTAAGCACTGTTACATCTTCCATCGGAAACTTGCAAGTCAATAGATAGTGCCACCGTTTGCATACCTGAAATTGATCCAAACATACTTCAATTTCATTACACAACTGATAATAAAAATAATTAAAAGTTTTCACAAATTCAACACTGAATTCAAATACTTGAAAGTGTTTGTACTCTTACAAACAATCAGAAAACTTATAATTTCTGTAACTAAGACAAAGTATGCTGTAAAGCATGTTAAGCCAAATCATAGGAACTGTCATAATCAATTTATTTTCATTGCTTAGTAATATCAAATTTATGCTCCGTAGTTCGATTTTTGCCCCGAGTTTGATGCTACTAAATAAACGATAGATATTATAGCTTTTGAGAATTGAATAAATATTAAAACAATTGATTACCTAAAATGCTATAGAAAAGTCAAGGAAATTATCGGTAGTTTATCTTTAATTAAACAAATACTTCGTTTTCAAATAGAGATAATAATTATAAATGATTTTGCTACTATATCAATCAATTTTTTTCTCAAACCGGATTCTTGATCATGTGAATCATGTAAAGTAGCTAAAGAAATTATACCTGAGATGCTGTACAACGATCATAAAGATTGAAAGACTCAAAAATGCATTGCATTACTAAATCCGGCATATCACTCAATGTAATTTCATCAGTACTATCTGATTCATTGTATCCTGAATACGGAAGCTCACTTAAATGCAATGAATCCCATTTTATTTGCATACATATATCCTGCAAAAATGAGTATTGTACCTACCATTCCAAAATCATTCACTGATTTACAACAATTATTTAACTGTTTAATTTAAGAGAGAATTTTCTCAAAAATTAGTTTAAAATTAGTTTTCACTATAAAATTCTCATTGTAAATATGATATTATTACTTTATGATTTTGCATAAGCTTATAATACAAAGTATATGAAGTTAATTATCCCTTTCCTACATAATTTCTTAATTTATTTATATTTTTCTTTACATTTATGTTAGTATCACCTTGAAAAAAGCTATGGCCTCTCACTTTAGAATGATGGACTTAGTAAAAGAAATTCAGAAAATTCCATGCAAAATGATATCTAACGTAAATAATACTACTTAAATAAAGCAATATTATTTAATACTATCATTCAAAAATAGCATAAAATCCAAGCGATTGATCAGATAATTTCGATAACTGATGCGACATTTCGGCATTAGCTACAGGTATGAATCCCATATGAATTAACGTAATATTAATTTATCCTTGAAATAAGAAGAATAATAGTAATACCTTATCACTAGCATCATTTTTTTCAACTTTTGTTGAACTACCATTTGTTGTTAATAATGATGATGAGCATATTGAAATTGAATCGCCTCTTGAAGTGTCATCATCTATCAAATCCATATCATTAGACATAAAAGTAATCCTTCCAGTACCAAACCTGAAATTAATATTTTAAAATCATTACTTTTCCTATTTCGTTTTTTTTCATTTCAAAATTCTTTATCGTTCAATGTAACAAACAATAAATGAATTTGTTTCATGATGAATTAAACTAATGAAATATTATCAATCATTACATTTGCTAAGTTGGCATATTAATGACGACTATAAAATGAAAGATTACACAATTAAAAATATAAAGCAGCTTGCAATCCATTCCATTTTAAATGCAACTATTTAAAAATTTTATTTCGAAATTTACAGCATAAAATTTTAACAGTATATTGTATTGTTGGTAATTTTTAATTATAACAAATAGACGAATAAATAATCATCTTTTTCATCCTTTGATTTCCTTACATCGTTTTTTTTGAGATGAGATGTTTACTTGAAAATTTACTAGTTGAGTTGGAAATGAAATCAAAACTGCCGATGATACAAAAGTAAAAAGAAAATGTAATAACAAACATAAACAATGAATAATTAATGCCAATAATAATAATTAAATAAATAAAAGAATAAAATTAGAGAATTTAGTAAATATGTAATAAAGAAATTAATTAATTCAATAAATGAATAAATAGATCAATTAGGAAATAATGAAAGTAAACAAAATGAATTAACTAAACTATTGTTTGCATAGGGAAGCAACCAATAAATAATGAAATATGTCTTGTTTTTAAATCACATAAAAATCAAATAACAGTTGTGAAAAATTTTGCACCAACAATTTTTTCGTTATTTTTAAAAACAAAAATTATTTTACCACTACTTTATATATTGGGTTTTTCAAAGATAAAAATATTAAAAGTGAACGAAAAGCAAAAAAGGAGAAGAATAAGAGAAAAGCTGAAATTATACTCTCTGATAAATTTACTAATTGATATATTGACAAATAACAATAGCTTCATTAATTAGCTCCATTATTATTTACTGCATTCCGAAATACTACTTCGAGTGTTATCATATTCACTAAACAAATAAGCAATAGCAATAATAACAATAACAACAATAGCAACGATAATAACAGCAATAACAATAACAAAAACAATAACAGCAACAACAGTAATAACAATAGCAATAGCAACAACGACAACGACAACGACAACAATAATAACAACAGTAGCAACAATAGTGATAACAATAGCAATAGCAACAACGACAACGACAACAATAATAACAACAGTAGCAACAATAACAATAGCAATAACAACAATGGTAAAACAACAGTACAGCAAAAACAACAACATTAACAATAACAATAGCAACGATAACAATAACGACGAAATGTCGATATACTAAAAGAAAAATTGACAAGAAAAACTTTGATTCAATAAAATTCAAAACATTTTACGACGATACAACAAATTTAAAACGTTTGTTGACCCTGAAAATATTACAGAAAATAATTTTTAAGAAATCCAATTCCAAAACAAATTACATATAATTTTTATTTCCCTTTAACAACAGGTAAACTTCGCACAAAAAAATACTTCTTATTTTCAGGTATCTTTTTAATTGGTAAAATTTATGATTGTTCAAAAATACTGCACGCAGTATCCTTTTTGCTTCCTTCTTACATTCACAAAAACTTTCCAATCTATGATCATTTGAAATAAATCAAAAATTAAAAAGAACAAATTTTGACATTTTAAATTTCGTATGCGTTTAAATAACAAAATGAATGATACTATTTCAAATGTAGTAAAATTTGAAATAATTTGTGGGCTTATAAAACAATAGCAATTATTATTAGCATTAATAATAGAAATGATAGAAGAACTGAATGAATTGAGAATGATTGAAAATCTAATTAGCTAATTTATGTTATATCATATGAAATTTAAATAACAAAATGATAAAATTCATTTCGTCATTTCTAACACTTTTATAAAACGGAAAACAAGTCACATACATTTTTAACCTTCCGGATTTTTTTTTTCTTCCAATGAACAATATACACATTTCATCATAATCATGATTTTCCGGAAAAAGAAAAAAGGAATAGATATTGCAACATTTGTATTAACTTTCTACCACATCGACACAAAATTTTTCTTTTCATTCTAATCGATTGCGTTTTCTTCTAAAAGGCTTCAAAAAGTTTAAACTGTTATCGACTAACTACCATTTAATCATTTACATTTTCTTTCATATTGATTGCTATCACAAGAACATTACAATTATAATAGCATAAGCAATGAAGTTTGCAAAATTAGGATAAATCTCTTATTTAAAATTCGAAAATTATGATTGTCAGATCAATTGTTGAATTATAAATGATGATACGATCAATGATTGATTTAATTAATGTTCCTTGAAATCAGGAAAAACAAAAACTGAACATTATATAGAAATCGATTTGATTTATATTAAAAAACGATTAACAATGATTGACATGTTATAAAATTTTGACATTTGATAACTTTTACCAAATATCCGAATTATATTCTTAATTATATGAAGAGGACATTGCTAATACAAAAATCAAAGCTGCATAATTTGAATACTGGTTAATAAAACGGATAACTTCTCCGGATAACTAATTGATAAAAAAACCAGATAATTTCGGATGAAATGAAGAATGAATTCGCCTAGATATGCATTAAATTAACAGCTGATACTATGTAAGTGATATCATTTAGACTGCTAAAAAAAGCTCAATAATTGATAATGTTTGATTAATGAAAATTAAAAATAATTTCATTCAATAAATTTAGATCCACTGTAAAAATTTCAAAAATTCAATTTTTTCTACTTCTAACATAAATTTCTGATCAAAACTACTTTATTCATCTCATTATGTTACATATTTTAAAACAAAGAAAGAGAGAAATTGCTTCTTACAAATCAATAATTAAAAAATCATTTAAGAATTTAATTAATGGTAAAGAAGATAAGCACTGAAAAATTTTCTCCCAATATCACTTCTATTTTTTTTTTTTTTTGCAATTCTACCAAGAATTTCCGCATTATAAGGCTAAAATTGGGATATCACAGGAGAAAAATTTCCTCCCGTGATATCCCATATTATATTTGGATACTTATGTGTATAGAATACGTATTAAACAAACAAACAAAAAACACCACAAAGAAACTAGAAAATAGTTACTAAAATTTCGAAAATCATCCCATTCAACCTCTCTCTCCTTCTTTCTCTCTTTCTCTCTCTCTCTCTCTCTGTATATATATCTCGATTTCCAACGAGAATGAAAAAATAATAGGAAAAATAAACCATTACTATCATTTGCAGAGAGACATGAAAACCCATATTATCATTGAGGAGAGGAAAAGAACGAGAGTATTTCTATCGATTAATGTTGCTATTGCTATTATTATTGTTGTTGTTGTCCTTGTCGTTTGCCGTTACTGTGACTGTTATTTCAATTATTTGTTACATTGCTGTTCTTGTTACTGTCATCTATTTGGATGACAACAACAATAATAACATTTCACATACACATATACACATCAATCATATCAATTAATATTATTGCAATGTAATTTAAATGATAAATCAATCATTAAGCAACATTCATTTTCCGTAATCAGTAGTCCTCTCAAAAAAAATTTGTTTTTTTTCAACAACATTACATTATCATTATCTAATTACTTCTTTTTAATTACATATATAAAGAAAAAACGACTGTTAATCGATTAAAGTATGAATAATTTAGAAAACATACGAAGTTAAAGCATAACATACAAATTAATTGCTTACAGGAACTCTATTCCTCTTCGTTTTAGTTATTACCAAACTATATTATTTGTCATTTTTGCATTATTACAAAATGTCGGGATTATACCAAAAGAATAGCTGAACGCCAAAATATGCCTGATATTTTTGTAGTTCTAATTATTTGCTATCAAAATAGGAAAAAAAAGTACTCCTGTACTCTCTCCCTCCTTCTCTCTCGCTTAATTATTGTAGTATTCTCTTACGGACTTATAAAAACGATCAACGCTCTAAATTTTATTCGGTAATTGCGAAAATAAAATCGGATATAAAACACAATATAGTGCTGCATCTTTCTGACAGAAGAAAGTAACGAATTTCACCAAAATTTCCAATTTAAACAATAAGGTAACATAAAATGTTTTGAGATCAACCCATTTCATATAAAGTGTTAATTAATTTATGTTAGTTCAATATATCGAACTCAACATTCTCGATAAATTTTTCAGAAAATTTAAACTCTAGGGAAAGCTGGTTCTGATCGCCAAAGTGAAGCGAAACCTATGGAGAACGATTCAAATCGATAAGAAATGTTCACAATAAAGTCTCAAAGAATTTGAAAAAAATTCTAATATTTCCAGTAATTCCTGTGGATAAAATGCATAGAATTTAGATGAGTGTAATCCGATTATCTGCAATCATTGCAACATTTTCGGTTGTTAGCTGTTCGAAAGCTGCTTCAAATTCTGCGTCACTAAACGGCAGCCGTCCAGCTTGCTCCTAAAAGTGTTCCAACTACGATATAAGTAATATAACCAATTAACAAATAAGCTAAAATGAATATTTAAAATTTCCTCAAATTCAATGAAATCAAAAAAAAAGAACTTGTTCAAATTAGGAATGCAGAAGAAAAGAAATACTGATGAATCACCAATACTAATAAATAAATATTAATGAATAAACAAATGACTTAATTTCAGTGACTTTCCATACATTCATTAAATTTTATTCACTAAAACACGAGTTCAGTTGAATGTTAAACAAACAAATGGAATTTGTTACAAAGTTGTTAAAAAACTAACCTGAATTGCATTGCGGATTACGGAAATTTCGATCATATCATCCGGGTTACCACAATCATCGAAAGCTTTTCTCAGATATTTACGGAATTTCTTGTATCTAAATATTTCATCTGTAAATTGTTGGCAGGACGTACTGGCACGTCATATAGGAAAGCATCACGAAAATTTTGTTTTAGAAATAAGATAAGCTGTGAAATGTTTTATTACAAAGCATGACGAAATGCATTTTTCAAACAGTTTTCCGAAAGAATCCGAAAAGAACAAATCAGACAATTTTCCGAAAGAAACCAAAGAAATATAAAATCAATATCTAAATAAGAAGTCATCTATTACAATCAAACTTTCTATAATATCTTTACTTATATACAATCGCAATTTGTTCAATGTCGAGTAAACGAATTCCATACAAGCTTGTTAAAATGAGTAAATTTAGCAAATTGTAAAAAAAAGTGAATAACCGATCGATGCTGATAGAAGGCATTTCACGACGAGGTCGTTTTGGACTGGGACCGCTCAGATCTGTAGTATCCACTGTTCTATCCATGCTAGATTCACCCAATTGTGCTGTGGTTGCTTCTGAATCAACCAGGGCAGATATTTGCGTATCCTCACCATATCTAAATATCAAGGTATCATCAGCTCAATATATTTGAACAATTATGTAAAAATCGAAAGTAACATATTAACTTGAAGTAAAGAAAGTAATATACTAAAGCACTTATTACTACTACCACTTCACATTGAACAATAGCACATTTGATGAAGCAGTGTATGAAAACCTTTTTGAGCGTCGAAGTGAAGTCTGTGTTGCCGTTCCTTCTACCGAAGTCAAATTCTAAATTAATACTTTTTATTAATAAATTTCTAATCCAAACGAATCATAAAAATATATCAAAACTAACAAATTAAAATAAGTTCAGGCTAACCTCCAAATCTTCAACTTCCTCATCCTCCGTTTCGTTATCATCACTTTCTTCATTTACTCCATGTTTCTTTTTACGTTTTTCTTCCATTTCTAGTCGTTCTTTTGGCTTTTCTTTGAAACACGCATAATGGAGTAATTGATAAGCTTTCTCTGCATCTAATCGTTCCACATTTTTTGCTAATCGCGCTTTTGCCATAGCTGTTGATACACGAATCAAAGTCTCCAACTGCCTTACTGTCACCGGCATAGTCTGTATAATTTCACCAGTCAAGACCGTAAAAATATTCCACAACCCTAGCAAATACCCAACTTCACATTCTATTTTTGATTTCGAACAAGCAATGTTTACGATGTACCCCACTTTTCGAACAATAACAAATTTGCAAAATATCCAAAAGGACCATAGACTGTTAAAAAATAATTTTCTATAAACTAGACATCTGCACTGAAAATTTTGTTGGAAATTATACTCGTTCTCGATCAGTTTTAGATGTATCAAATGAGCGCAGTTCAGCATAGCATTCGCTTATGTAAGCAGAAGCTTCCTCTGTCAGTTTTGGTTTCACAGATTTTGCCATATGAATATACTTCCGTACGAACTGCATCGTGAATAGTTTGTCACTAAAGCCAACAGTTTTTAAAATTTGAAAAAACGCTCATCTAAACTGCACTTCCTAAAATTGCATGAAATGATTTTTTTGGCAACAGTTTCTTGTCAGAGAACCTTTATCTATTGTTCGCTAATACCGAATTGCTCGAGGCTATGAAATTTCTTTCCAGTACTTTTGAAAGTTTTCAGCTTTTGGTCAAAATGAGGTTATGTCCAGAAATTTCAGTGAAAAGCTTATCTTAGAACAGTAACACACCTCGCCTTACCAGCGCACCAGTCTTTGTTTTTTTCGCAAATTTCATTTGTCGTGGACACTTCTTCCATATCAAATGTAGTAAGAGTTTCAATATCAGCTCCCATTGGTAGCACTGCACCATCTGGTTCACCAGGCGTGCGGTACTGATGAAGCTTTAGGATATGTTCCGCGACATTATTATCATGTTTTGGATCGTGCTAAAATAACGAGTTACTTTCAATTTTCGATTCCCTCTTATAGGCCAATTCTCTTACGATATCGTTAAAAAAATCCAGTAAAAAAATCTGGCAGCTGTATTAAAATAAACATCCAAAGGTAACAGTAATAATATCAGTACTAGAAGAATTTCATGCTTTATATATAAACGATCTATTTAATAACAGTATGTTATAAAGCGTAATTTGTATATCTTGTCATAATAATAATAACAGTGTTATATAGCTTCAAAATTCAGAAAAAGAGGTGTGTTGGTCAGAAATCATCCCAGTCAAAAACTGGACTAACAAACATCATATGACGAATAACATCATTAATTTATTTCGGTGATCGATGTTTGATTATATTCGACAATGAAACATCGATCACTGAAATAAGTGAAAGTTTTGCCACTATCAACTAGGACGCATGTGCTGCACTGAAACGAATGAACTGAAATGACTACATTAATGTTGGTGACATGTAAAGCGCAAATAATTAAAATTTCAGTGAATTTTCCGAAAAATTTTATAAAACTATATTGGAACAAAATTTTACCTCATCCATGAGTACAAATATAAGATCGAAACGTGACAACAGTGAATCTTGCATGCCAATATTTTCCATGGGTGTTTTGAATAAATCATACTGTAAAATAATTTCCTTTACAATAGTAAGAAAAATTAAAAGAATATCATACAAATAAGGATGGCAAAAATAGTGAGGGAAAGACTTGTTTTTCATGCTTACCCTTCCAAATACTGGATTTGCAGCAGCAAGAACGGAACATCTTGCATTCAATTTTGCATGAATTCCAGCTTTAGCAATTGTTACTCGTCCCTGTTCCATTACTTCATGTATTGCTGTACGATCAATATCTGACATCTGAAATTTATTATAATTTTTTTATCATCAGTAACAAAACGTTGAAAAAAAACTGAATATGAAATTCAGAAAGGTAGCAACAACAAGAACAATCATTAAAATGTTTTAATTAATGAATGACACAAACAAGGCTTTAAAACTCAAAGAAAATTGGGATGCCGCGGTAAAAAAACAAGTTATCCATGGAGATCACCTTGTCAAATTCATCAATGCAAACAATCCCTCTATCAGCTAAAACCATTGCGCCAGCTTCGAGACGACGTTCTCCAGAATCGATATCAGTTGTTACTGCTGCCGTCAAACCCACGCCACTTGAGCCACGTCCAGTAGTTGCAATAGCTCGTGGTGCGGTATGCAATACATATCTTAAATAGGTACTTGTCACTAAACTTGTCATTAAAAATCAGCTCAGAATTAAATGAACCATGACTCCACTATTCTTACAAATTCTTCCAGAACTGTTGTCTTCAACTATCCCATTTTCTAAAATGAATCGCCGCAAATAAAAACAATATAATAAAATTTGAGTGTTCAAACGAATTTTAAATTTCCAGCAAAACTTTTCAAGTTACGAGAGTTCAATAAAACTACAAATAAATTTTCAAAGCACCTCAACATACTACCTCAACAATTGACTTTTTGCCACTGACGGATCACCAATCAAAAGTATATTAATATCTCCTCTGATATGTGAACCATTTTGTAGAATTTTTTCATTTCCACCAAGTAAAAGACAAAGTATTGCTTTCTTCACTTCATCATGCCCCCAAATCGATGGTGCTAACGATCTCGCCAACGTATCGAATATATTCTGGAAAAAAAAGCAAACTTTAGGTTTCATCAAAAACCTTCACAAAAGCAGTATGTAGACATATATAGAACAGTATATTCTAACCTTTTGTCGGCTCATTTTGCGAATATTTTTAATATCATCTGGCAAGAAATTTGGCTGCATCTCCTTGCTTAATAACTGTATATTATTGGAAATAATAATCGACCTGCAATATGTTATTATAATGACCGATTTGTGACTATTACAATTATGTTGCAGTACAACTTCAATGAATAACCTATATTAATTCATTTTCCTGCTGCCAACTCTTTGAATGAATTGTCCTATGAACCTTCCTCCATCATAAGTTCTATTTCAAACGATCTTTCACCTATCACTTTAATACAGGAAGCAGGAAATCCGCAATTTCTCGAAATGTGCTACATAATAAAGTGGAAAGTAGAACAGATTTATCTCAATAATTACCGTCCATATCTAGTTCTCTTTATCACATACCTGAAACTGCCACTAGTATAACCATTTTGTTTGTTCGGCAAACACCTGTACAAACCTATAACACGAATACGATCGCCCGGTTTACAGCTGTCGGCTAAGTCATCATCGGCCACAACGTCTATTGAACGTGGCAGTTGTCCTGGTGGCGCATACTCCGGTAATTCCTAAGTGAACTTTTAGATATTCAGGTTTTCAGTACTAGGTGGAAAAATATACTCCTGTCAAGTAAAAAATTAAAAAATAAATCTTCTTGTCATATTTTTTGTTCGTCATTGAAAATATTAAATCATCTACAAATCTGTACAGGTAATCTAAACTAAAAAAATTAATTTATACATCAAATAATAACATAAGCGTGGTGATGTCAGATCTTTTTGTAAAAAAATTCGAACAAGAAAAGCCTAATTTCAATGAAAGCAAACAGTTGTACTTGTATAGAGAATGTTTGATGATCTCGATAGGTACTTAAGCCATATTCGGTTTCAAGTGGATTTTTATTCTCATCCTGAAACAAAAAAAAATAAAAAAGGTATTGTCAAAAGTAGAATCATATATTGCTGATGTGAAGAAACTGTTCGCTAACACGTACCTCCGTGGGATAAACATTACTGCATGGGAAGGCATCGTATGATGTTAAATCGGTGTAACGACGCTCAAATGTCTTCTTCGTTGAAGGACAGTAATGTACGCTACGGACTACTTTCGGACGTAGTGCAGAACCTATAAAAGTCATTTTAACATTTCTATTAAAAATCAGATCACCCCAATACAAATCTTTGCTATTCATTCGTAGTAACTAAGTTTGTCGAGAGTTTTCCACAACATTCCTCATCGGTAGATAAAGAACAACATAATTCAAGCTATGCGTTATTTTCCATTTTACAGGTCATAAAGTCGAAGAATGAAGTCCTCTTTTCTTTTTTTGCACTAATATCAGCGAGATAACCCTTGTTGGGAAATTATTAGTTGCACAATACGTCAGCTAAATGATGTGCCAAGATTTGTTATAGGTCTTTTTTACAAAAACTTATAATGTTTGTACTTTAAGTATATTTTTAGCAATTCCCTACCCACCTATTATTTTACCAATTTATCATTTGATACAATTAACTTTTAAAAACACTTCATTTCCTAATGGAATTCAATTTGAAATCTTACATTTGGTGACGATACCTTCACAGCAAACCATACTACCGAGAAACTGTGATTTTAGTGTTCGGGGATTTACATGTCGATCACCAAAGCTTCCTTCAAAACCAACGTTGAAGTCTCGCATCTTCCCATATTCGGGATCTAGTCGGCTTACGTAATCCTTCATTGCTTGTTGTAGGCATAGAATTTCAGGCACAAAATTTCGTAGTAGCCTAAACCTCAATTAATTTTTGCTTTGTTGATTGAATTTTGAATTTTGTTGAATTTAGTAACAGGTTATTTGATAAGAAACAAAGATAAGGAGAGCATCAGCGTCATGCTTCAATCCGTTACCGCAAAAACAACATCATTTAAAGATTAAGATGGTTTTGGACGTCTAAAACAATACTTAAAAAGGGAAAAAAAGTGTAAATTGACCCATTAACTCGCTGCGGAAGTTTTTTTCGAAGTTCATTCAGGTTGACGATAATTCGTGATCCATTTTCCTTAATCATATCTTCGCACTTTTGCATATAAACTTTGTCACCACCCTTAAGCACTTTAATTGAACAAAACTTTAATTCAAGAAATCATTCAATCATAAATCACTGATTTATGCTGTCTCAAACATTACATTACCGTCAATCTTTATAGAACTATCCTGCAACTGAATAATTCACTGAAAATTTAACACATCTTGTGAAAGTTTACTATATTTCGTTAAAAGCTTATCACATAACGCTGAAAGTCTACCATCCAACTGAAAGTTGAATAATTAATTATAAATTATGCAAACAAATAAATGCATATATCTCTCGCAGATCTACAAAGCCAAAAATGAAAAAATCGTAATAAAACATACGGAATCATCTAAGAAATTAAGATACTCCAATGCGATCTCACGTGCAAGATTCTCATCTTCATGGCTGATTAAATCCATGCTATGTAGACAGCTATAAAATGTAGATTGTAGATTGAAATGTAGATTACTTCTATTGCTTTTATTCAGCTGTATGAAATGAAAGTACTTCAGAGAAAATATTTGGTCCTGAAATTTTGAATCTGCTCGGGAATTTCAAGAATTTCAGAACCTTCTCATTTGATAAACCATTGATATACTTCAATGTTAATAAATTTTAAAACCTAAATAACTGCCAAGTAATTAATATCAACAAGAACTGAATATTACAATTCTTATATAGCTGACGCCATTCCAGTTACAAATTCTGCAATATTTGAATATTTAATGCGCTATGAATGTTCATTTGACCGTATCTAAACATCAATTATGAGTAAAGCTACTTCAATATTTCATTACTACTTTAATATTTCAACACTTAATGCAAACTATATTATCGCATTCCACAAATTTTGTTGTCAATCATTACAATGTAATAATTTTAAGTGAGATTTTCAATAATTTTTGTTTAACGCGCCGAAAATTCAAATTTGAACCCCGACATGAAATAATTGCAGCTCAATGTAAGAAATTAGCTTAGGAAATGATATCCAGGTTAGAGCATGCAAAGAAACTCGGTTGTAAGGTTAGAGTTCAGTTAGGAAGATAATTAATTCTAAATCGATTGAAAAAAATGAACCAAATTAAAAAAACTATCATACGAAAAATTAGTTTAAAAGAAAACTCTTTCATTTAAATTGTTTTCTTAATTTACGAGTTCACATTTTTTCATAATAAAGTTAATTGAATTTCATTTGATTTTATATTTTATTGAAAAACATTAGAAGTAAAGAAATCGATTGTAAAAATAGCAATTATTCTAAGGTTTCAAAAAAAAAGAAACGACAAATAAAATATAGAACGATGCATAGCACAACGCTCTCAAAGCATGCAAACACTGGCCGCATTACCTCCTCAGCCTACAAAGGAAAGAGGCTGTTTGGTTTTGGGGAGGAGGGTATAGAGCGAAGCAATTGATGTTACTGTTGCGTATGAAAGAACATCCGGAGTTACTTATTCACTCATATTGTAAGCCGAGCGGGTAGGAAATCGAGTCAGTTGTGGATTATGCGATTTCTTTTCGAGCCTAAATTCCAGGGAGGAATAGTTATATAACAGTGATATTTAGAAATTGCAGTAAGATTTGGTTTTTTTCCGAAGAATTCACTCTTGAAATACTGAATTGATTCCAGAATTGCCAGTCTTCTATGTCCCAAACTAATTAGTTGTGGTCAGGAATCATCCCGCTGCAGTATTGTTGCTAAATTCACGAGATGTAGCAAAATCGGTAAAAAACGTGAACATAATGTGTCCATTTTCTTAGGATACTCAACTTGTTTGGTGATGGGTATATCACGTGATAATTGGCATAAACGGCGCGCAACTGGCGGAAAAAGATGTCCACCACACAAAAAGAGGAAGTTTGAGCTCGGGCGTCCAGCGTCAAATACAAAGGTCAATTAACTGATCTTATGTCTTCTTTTGCGAGTTCATATGTAGTTGCATATTATTGGGATAAAATCAAAATTCCTTATCGTATTTTGAATATTTTTGCTATCATTTTGTTTGCCACCACTTCAATTATAACAACGTTGCGAAATTCGTCAGAAGAAATTCACAACCGTCAAACCATTAAACTTCATTCCTGAGAATCGCATCGTTATTGTAAAAGGGTGAAACTGAACTTAAGACAGGTGCAATTAGAGAGATCACAAGCAGTCAACCTGAGCTGATAAAAAATATCCGCTCACTTGATTCGTGCACAAATTTTCTTTCATAAAGGAACTAGGAACTATATTTTGCAGATTGGTCCAAAAAGAATCCATCTTGTTCGATGCCGCGGTGGAAATATCAAACATCGTGCACTGAGACTTGATGCTGGCACATTTTCGTGGGGATCAGAAGGTTCCTTTATTGTTTCTTTTATGGTTCTTATTTTTCTCTATGTCTATAGCATTAGTTGAAGACATATGTAAATGGGATATGTACTTATCCAAAGGTAGGATGGTTTTGTTGTCCAAACCTATTTCCTCGCAGTTGATGAACGTCGCACTTCAAACCCTGTTGAGGAGATGGCTAAAATTTACTTTGCAAAAGTTATTCCATCTACAGGTTGCACGCGTAAAACACGTATCGTAGACACCGTATATAATGCATCCAATAATGAATTAGTGCGTACTAAAACGCTAGTGAAAAATTCGATAATTACTGTTGATGCCGTCCCATTTCGTCAATGGTACGAAGCACACTATGCCGTTCCGTTAGCACGTAAAAAAGGTGCGAAGATGACGGATGAGGAAGCACGGATCAACAAGAAGCGTTCAAAGAAGGTGCAAGCAAAATACACAGAGCGACAGAAGTTTGCTGAAGTTGAACCACATCTTATTGAACAATTCCAAAGCGGTCGGTTGTTAGGTTTGTTTTCTTCGTCTTTTATTTTTGAACTAAAGCGTGGAAAATGTTGAAAGTAACGATGCAGGAAAGAGGAGAACTGCAAATAGTTGGTAATTGGTAAAAAGTAAAGGATATTGATTAGTTATGCAGTTCGAATCGTATGGTCTTGGATGGAAACAATGATAGCCTGTTCTTGGTTTAATCTGATAAGTCTAAGTAACGGTTTACAAATAGTTTATTAGATATTTGAAGAATTAAAGATTACGTGGGTTTTTGATGGCTTTATTGTCTGGAAATTATCGGATTTTTGGAGTCTTACGATCAACCAGTGGTAGAATGCAATGATTACAATTGATGGGGTAGTTCAGTTTTTATGATGTCCTTCAGATGTCGCCAAACGAGAACAGAGTCACAGTGTAGGCCAGATGTCTGCCTTTGTGCTAAGTATCTCGGAAATCATATCAGCCTTCAAATGCAGGTTGTCCTACTATTCTGTTGGACAACCCCACCGTAAGTCAGAACAAAAACTAATTTTGAAAGATTTTTGGATCCGTTTTTACAATTAAAATTTTTTTCAGCTTGTATCAGCTCTCGTCCAGGTCAGGTTGGTCGAGCTGATGGCTATATATTAGAAGGTAAAGAGCTTGAATTCTACTTGCGTAAAATTCGAGCCAAGAAAGCAAAGTAAAGAAAACTTTGTTTATCCGATAAGTACTGATAACTGTTTGTTATGCTTTTTTATTAATTATGGATAAGATTTTTCGGTTATATTCAAATAAATATATTGCATTTTTTTTCCTATTGACATTTGCAAAACTTCATAGCGAACAAGCTAGGATAGGAATTTTTGGACATATTGGAAGAAAAATCAAGTTTTCTAGTCACAGTAACTTTTCGTATGACATTTTGATATTGTGCCGATATCGCACACTATCCAAAAAAAATATTTCTGCTTCTTGTTTTGCACTGGTCCCTATCGGGTCATTCAAAGGCAAATGGTTTGATGCTATCAGTTGTTTTACATTTCGCCGCTTTTTGAGAGATATTGTGAAATGATATCTACGGATCCTTCGAGTAAAGATATTTCTAAGATTCAAATAATCTTCGGTCATAGAAGAATTGTTTTTCTATTTGAAGAATTGTTGCCGATAAAAAATTCATCTCTAGTAAGCAATGTATGCATAGTGTAGTGTGTGATGTATCATTGCATAATTATTAAAAAAAAAAATCATTGCATAATTATTAAAAAAAAGATTATTACTAGTAGGATTTTCGGCTTACTTTTTGTTATATAGAAAAAACATTAGAAATAAGTTGAACCAGAGATCGGCTGTCATATGCTGGAAAAACTTCGTTCCTGTTAATGAGAGAAGAAAAGTCTCCAGCATAGTAGTGACCAAGCGTTCCTTACATTCATCTTAAGATTCGTTGATATAACTTTTTATTAGATATATAATTTGTAAACATCAGAGATGGTACTCATTTACCAATTTGTTTTAAATAATTATTTTTCACAACTCATTCTTATGATTCATTTATATAACCTTTTATTAGATATATAATTTGTAGACATCAAAGGTAATGAAAAAAGATGGTACTCATTCGCCAATTTGTTTTAAATAAATTATAGAAATATTCTAATCAGTAATTTCCCCGTCGTCTTTTTTCATTTCGTAAATTAGTATGTGTCAATAAGAAAACAATATTAATCCGTCGATTTCTTTCTTCTACTTTATTTCATTCTAATCTTTAATAGTTTTTTCCTTCCTCTCTTCTTTATCAATGAAAATTAATTGTTGCTGATATGAATTATACCGACTGCCATAAAATATAGGAAATGAAGAAAGAAACAAAAGATGGAAAAGTTGAAAACGATCGATGATTAATTAATTTTGTTTAACTAAACTGGTTTAATTTGTAAATAGTTGATTTTATTCTTCAAACATAATCATTATTTTCTCTTTTATTTGATCATTGATTACGGATAATTTGTGTTAATAGATAAAATATATTTGATCGATATGAAATATAAATTTAATGATAGTAGTTAAGTGCTTTTGATTGACATATATTATTAGACATGAAATATATTTAATGATATGAAATATAAATTTTATGATATAGTTAAGTATTTTTGATTGACATATATTATTAGACATGAATTACATTTAATAGTATGAAATACAAATTTAATGATAATAATTAACTGCTTTTAATCAACATATATTATCGAACATAAAAATATTCTTATTTAATAATTAATCAAAATTTAATTATAAAACAAAAAAAATTGAATTTTGTTAAATTTTTTCAAAGCAAGCATATTTTTCATTTAATAATAAATGAATGGAATTTTTATTAACTCTGAAAAAAATCATAGAAAATGTAATACCTTGCATCGATAATATTGTGCTAATTTTTATGCTAATTAATTAAGACTGGCTAATTCAAGGCTTAAGCAAAATAAAGAAATGAATTGAGATTGATGATCATTTTATTAAGTGATTAGAGTGATAGGAAAAAGGAAAGGAATTTTAAAATTTCAAAATTTGCTGATAATAATTATTTTTTGCATCACTTATTAATTGACTTGCAATCTTAGGAATGAATATTCTTTAATGGATTACTTTTTTTTCTTTAATTTTAAAAATACTAAAATTCTTTAATGAACCAGTTTTATTTTTAAGTTTATTGGTCACTAATCGTTTGTTATGAATGGTTTTATTAATTACACTAATTTATATCAATCATGAATCACCTCAAATTGTTCATGATAAATTTATTGAACTAACGAATTATCTCATATTACGGGTATATGAATTCATTGCACATGCAAATAAAACAAAATGTTAACAAAAAGAATACAGCTACAATAAGTCGTTGAATAGTTAATCAAATAATATCTATTTGATCAAAATTTTAATTATCAATTTAATTTTAATTTAGATTTAATTAAAATCAGAAATTTTAATTAGTGAATTAAATTTTATAATATTAAGATATGAAAGCATTTATTATCCAATTTCGTTATCAGTTTTTAATCTTTCATTGGTTAAACAAATTTTAGAAATTATCATTAGAAATTATTAAACTATTTCTTTTAATCTTTCTTCATATTACAAAGTGATAAAATATCATAGAATATATATATATATATATATATGATTATTAAGAATAGTTTTCTGAAAGAAGAAAGAAATGTATTGAAAAAAAATTATGTAAGATTTACTGAATTTTCTTATTTTCGATAAGAGCAGAAATTACCGCCAGAAAATTTATCAAACTTAATTTTTTGATTACTAAGAAAGGGAAGGAAAATTAATGATAAGATAAATTTCAAGTCAATAATTATAATATTAGTAAAGCAGTATGGATATAGTAAGCTATCATACAAATCACGCTGAAGTAGTACGTCGTGGTGGGCATGAACAATAGGATCCATCAAGTCCTGGTTCTCCTGGTGGACCAATTGGACCACTGAAACCTGGTGGACCATTTGGTCCTGGTTCACCTGGTGGTCCAGCTGGTCCCAGTGATCCAATAAAGCCTTGATTTCCATCATTCCCATCCGGACCTGGAAATCCTTTTGGTCCAGGTGGTCCTCTGGGCCCCGGTGGTCCTGGTTCTCCTTTGGTACCTCGTGTTCCACTTTGTCCTGGTGGTCCTGGTGCACCATTTTTGCCATTAGCACCAGGTTCACCTGAAATACAATGATGATGAATAAAACAATTTTTTTTTGATTATTACACTAAAGTTTATTTTTAGCGATACGTTTGTAGGCAATTTTGCTTATAAAATGTAGGAATAATTGCTCACCTGCTGGTCCGGGATTACCAGGTGGTCCTTCAAATCCTGGTTCACCTCGGTATCCAGGTGGCCCTGGTGGACCATTTTCTCCAATTTCCCCAGGTAGACCTGGTTGACCTGAAACTTGGTATATTATAGAGCATGAAATGAAAAATTCAAAAAACAGAGTATCAGTTGCGGCAAAGTTAAAGCTTAATGATGAAAAAAGTTAAAACACCTGGGTAACCCTGTGGACCACGTGGACAAATACGGCAGTTAGCTGTGATATCCACATTTACGGCCGGATAATTGCCAGGTAATCCTGGTAATCCCGGTGGTCCAGGTTCTCCAGCAATACCATCCATTCCTGGTTCACCCGGTGGACCAGGTTCACCAGGAGGACATGTTGTTGCGGCATCACATCCTAAAATTACCATACGTAGTAATTGCAATTGAACGAATGAGGAATTTCATTTAAGGAATTACAAAATACGATATGAAATGATCAAAAAAAAATAACATTATTATAATTAATTTAAAAATAAAAAATTTTCAAATTTTTCAAATAATTTTACATCACTACGAATTAATTAAATTTTGCCAAATTTTCATTTTGAATTGGAAACGATCGAAACAAAAGAAAGAAATTACGGCATTGTCCTGGATATCCTAGGCCACGTTTCTTTCGATATAAAGCAAAAAGTGAAGTGCCAAATGCAACACTTTGACCCTTTACTTGAATATAAATTTGATCTTGCAATCCTCGAAATTCTTCCATATCCTGCAAATTTTAAAACTTTGCAAACTTAAATGTTTATGAAATGATGAAAATTTTTTTGCAAATTATGAAAATATTTGATGGTACTTTTTGTTTCACTGTAATTATTAGAAATTATTAATTATGGCAAGATTTCTTTTATGGAACATTTTATGGAAGTATGGAAGATTTTTTTAATCATTTTTGATGATTTGTTTTGAAAATATTAGAATGAATTGTTATTAATTAACGCTAATTGTATAATTTATTTGCATTATTTTAATAATTTTTTTCTGATTTAATTAATTTTTTTAACGTTTATTAAATTCTAATTTAAATTATTAAAGTAATAATAATTCAAATTTTTCAATAATTCATTTTTTGAGGTTTTCTTTTTAAAATTTTTGTTGGCATAAAATTTTGCAAAATGTTTGGAATGTTTGTTGTAAAATTGATTGCAAAGAAAAAAAGGCTTCAATAAATAATTTGTTCATTTTGTAACGAATTTTATGATATCCGATAATTTCCGGAAAATATGAATTCATTTGTTTCAAATGAAAAAAACATTTATAGTATTTTTCTTTTCAATTGCCGACAAAAACAAATTTAATATTGAAAAAAAAATCGATTAAATTTTATTCGATTAAATTTTGGGTTATTAAATATTATTTATGGACATAATACGTATCATTTATAACAATGATATAGAAATTGATTTGGGAAAACTTTCTTTGTTGTAGGAAATATCTGCGGTATATACTATAGAATAATGTAATAAAAATTTTTCAACATATAATTCTTAAATTTAGCTTTATGATATGATCTATATCATTTTTTATTAATTTTTATCAAATTTTAATAACTCAACTGTATTGAAATATTTCGAAATCTTTAGATATCGTAACTAAACATCCAATTTACGATTATATCCAATTTTTCTTTTTTTTAGAAAATTGAAATTCAAAATATTTAAATTTACACATACGAATTCGAGATCGTGCCGAATTTTTGAGATCTTATTATGTAAGGCAGGAAGGAACATAAGGCATGCTATCAATGCACATATGCTAAGTCCTACAGCGGAATAAGCAGCTAAATGCGCCGACATAATTGTCAGCCTGAAATTGCGCTGAAATATAATGGAAGAAAATAATGAAATAATTGCAAATATAATTCACATAAAAAACGTATTCAGTAAATTATTCAAATATTTTGTAATAATTTTGCGTCAAAAATAAAATTATTTCAAGCAAAAAATGCAATAAAAAATTTGTTAAGAAATAAAAAAATAAAAAAATTAAAATTCTAATTTGTGGTAGAAATTAAAAAATAAGAAATAAAATTTTAATTTGTTAAGAAATTAAAAAAATAAGAATTAAAATTTTATGAATTAAAAAACACAATTCAATTATGATATGAAATATTTCTAAAATCGCTTTTTTTTTGTTACAGTAAATAAAATAGGAAATGGATGGATAAGTATTTTTAGTATTATTACTGTAACAATATTAATATTATATTACTGTAACACTGTAACAATAAAAATTGTTTCCAATCATTAATGATATTTTATATGTGTACAAAGGATAGAATGAGATAAAAAACTTTTTTTTTAAAATTAGCAGTTGGCATTTAAAAAGACACGGAATTGTTGCCAATATGCACGTAAATAACAAAAATATTCATTTAAAAATAGAAAAAAAAGAAAAAGAAAAAAAAAACTTTTTTCTGAAATTAATAGCTGACATTTAAAAAGACACGGAATTGTTGCCAATATGCACGCCAACAATGAAAATATTAATTAAAAAATTTTGCAACTATCGAAATAATTCGTATTTTTCGTTGAAATAAATGCCATTCATTAAAAATTTCCCTTTTATTTCCATTGTTTCGTTTTGCTGTTTGCTTCGAAATTTATTTCATTTTAAAATGAAATTTCTTTCATGTTAGAGAATATCGAAGAATGCTGAATGAAATTCAAACTGATCGTTTCTTTTTTTCCTTCACATGAATATATTTCGGAAAACGGAAATGTTTGTTGAAAAAAGAAGGAAACGAAAATTTTTTATTCCGATTGAAAAAAAATTCAATTTTTCTTCATTAATATTGTTTCTTAAAACAATTCAATTAATTATCGTTGTCCTTGAAAATTTAAAAATTCATTTTAAATTAGCAATTTTTATTTTTTTCCTTTTGTTTCCAAAATCAGTTATACGAAATTTTTTTTGCTCAAATTTTTAAAATTAAAAAAATTTTTTAGAAATGAAATTTTATAATTAGACTTAATTGGGTGAAAAAGAAGGAGGAAATTTTAATAAATATATTGGCAATGATTTTATATCACTTGAAGTTTGCAATTCTTTTTTAAAATTAACTTTAATGAAAAACTTATATTAAAAAAATAATAGTATTTAATCATAAACTTATAATATTATATATATTATATAGTTAATCGAAAACTTATAATATTTAAAGTTAGCTATTATATGGTTTGAAAATTATTTCCATTTTGATTTTCATAAATTAATTAAGAGAGATTGAAGGATTGAAAACTTTTGATTGAATTAAATTACAGTTATTCATTTTTTGGGATTAAAAAAAGTAAACTTAAATTGTGTTGAACAAATGATACACATACACTATTTTAGGTTAATCAGTAATTAAGTAATTTAAGTGTAATGATGAAAAATAAAACTTATAAAACTTAAAAACTTATGTAAAATTCAACGAAATAAAACGGCCAACACGTTCTGCAATCATTTTATCAGCAAAAATGCTACTAAAGCTGGAATATATCGGTAAATGATAATTACAGATAATTTCAATTGTATGATATTATTACCGTATAAATTTACCGGACTGCAAAACTACTACTTACAGAAATGCAAGAATTAACAAATTTCCGTAAGCGATAAGTTTACTAAGAAGTACGTTAATATAATATTGTCAATGAAATAAGAAAATACAAAATTTTCTGAGATTTAGAAGAGAGCGATATATAAATGCATCGCAAAAATTAAAATGCAGATTTTCATGTTGGAAAAAATTAATCATGAATTATGTGGCAAATGAATATTAGTTGTAGCTGTCAATATTAAAAATAATTTCATTGGAAAAAACTTTTTCACAAAAACGAAATAATAAAATTCTTATCCGCCGATTTTAAATTACAATAATTTTTCATAATGTTTAATTAACCAAAACTAATTGAAAATTATAAATGACAAATTTACCAAAAAGAAAAATC